TTCAAACCTTAATGATGTCCCAGAAAAGAGTATACCATGAGTTTATGGTGGGAAACAAAGCTGGAATTCTTGGAAGTTTATCCCATAAATCAGCCTGTGGCCTCTTCTGTCTCTATCCAGCTTATCGTGTGTATTTATTGATTTGATATTCAAATGATTTTGTTTTATAATCACGACCTTGCTGCTTGCATTTTCTGAAATATGAGTGAGTCATCTGTTAACTCTGCTCAACCAGCTCAAGGACGTGGAGCTGACAGGGTATTGATCCGCAGGTATTACTTCTCCCTACCCAGCCAAAGCTGCTCAAGTCCCAAGCCAAGGTGAGACCATCCATCAGTGAAGCATAGATCAGCAGAAATACATTCCCACATCCCTCTGTCTGTCTGTCTGTCTGTCTGTCTGTCTAGCTTGCTTCATCACTCCTCTTCCTCTCTCCTCTCAGCTGTTTGCAGTGCTGGAAGAAGTTTTCTGTAAGTATTAATAATACCACACTTTATAGATACTCTGTAAAGGTCCTGCATTTAAAATGTTACTTAAGTAAAAGTTTGTAATCACATTTAAAAAAGTACTTAAAGTATTAAAAGTAAAAGCCCAGGGCTGAAATGTCCCCTAGACCTCTACTCTTATATATCATTACAGTATTATTACTCTATTACTGTTGTCTTTGGTTGAGGTGGAGCTCATTTTACTCAAACTAATAATTATTTTCATTATGGATTAATCTGCTAACTACTCAAAGTAACACCTCCACAATGCTTGTTTTGTCCAACTAATTAGATAATATTTTATTAAAATGACTGAAAGGAAGAGCAGAAATTCCTTGCATTTGTGAAGCCGGAACCATAAAAGATTTGGCCTTATTTCTAAAATATTTCAAACAAAAGGTTTTGGCCTGAAAATTGATTTAAATAATTATCAAATTCAGTTGCCAATTTTCTCTCAACCGATCGTTTCTGCTGTACTACACTGTTTATAACAAAACATCATATTTTATAAACTCTGCAATTGTTTTGTGACTGGGAGTCAGAGACGTGTAGTGCGGTAAGAATTTCAATATTATCCTCTGAAATGTAGTGAAGTCGAAGAACAAGGTGGAAAGAAAAGAACAAACTGTACTTGAGTAAATGTACCCCGTTACATTCCGCCACTGATAGTTTCTCTCTCTCTCTCCCCTCTCTCAAACAGATGCAGATGCAGATGTTCAAGCTGACAGACGGACTCTTTCTGGATGTTTGGACAATCAGCAAAGTAAAGTCATCAGATTTCTCCGACCCAGCAGCAGCAGCAGCAGCAGCAGCAGCTGTTGATCCACATTCAGTGTCTGAATCCTCAGGAGCGTCTGAGAGTGAGTGCGCACTGTGGGTGTGAGTGCGCGCTGCTGCTGGGCGGGCGGAGGAGGGGGTTCAGTTTGGATAGAGGCGAGCAGGCACGCACAGGAGACAGCTTTTGCGCGGACTTTTTACGCTTTTTGTCGCTCTTCTATCTGAGACCAGTCTGCAGCCCGCACTCACTGGCTGGTGATGCTTGCAGTAAAGTGACATGCAAACAGGAATGAAGTCGTAGATGAGCTGCGGCTCCGACGCATACTGTACAGATCCGGCAGGTTCAGCGCGGTGGTCTGGTAAGAACTGAAACAAACATGAAATCCAGGAGTCAGGACCAGAGTTTGTCTGACTCCAGAGAGCTGGACAGATCTTACGACCCACTGACAGGTAGCCTATTCATTTTTATCATCGTTTTTTAAAAGAAATATGGGAAATTTAACACTTTATTTCCTGCTGTTTGCTGACCTGGCTTTAGACTCCCAGTCACTGTGCGCTCATGATGAAAGTTTGCTTTTGGTTTTTCAAAAGAGTAAACTCACATATAGAGCAGACTGTCTGACTGTAGGACTCAGCTCTGTCACTAAAGGAGTATTTAATACACCACAATCCGGTTTCATCATCTGTCACAAGCTGCTGCAAACCAGCCAGGGTTTAAAGTCAGTGTGTGTGAATGTGGACGCTCAGCAGCCTCAGTTTCATTTGTTGGAAACTGTTTTAACCGACGATTAATCTGATGTTTTACCTCGGGATGAACTTTACATCATTGCTTTAGCTCGCCAAATGTTATGAATCGGGATATGTGAAAGTCCTCACACAAGGTCATCTACAGCATCATGCAGGTCAGCAAAAATAAAAAGGAAGCTTAAATATGTTTGACAGTGAGTTTATATATTTTTTAATATAATTAAATATTATATATATATACACAGGATATATATATATATATATAAGTAATGTATTTGACTGTAAGGGCTGAATGTTTGAATCACATCTGCAGTTCAGTGACTGCAGTCTAGAAGTGAAGCAGGGGATGGTTCAGAAATGCCAGCAGTGCTCTTCTGTAACAATTTCTGGTTCCAGTTTCCTTCCTTTTTTTGGTGTAAATCTTTTTATGTGTTTGTCAAACAGAACAAGCAGTTTTAAGATCACTTTGGGCTTTAAAAAAAATTCTGGATAGACTAAATGATTAACAGATATTTAAAGAGATTTATCAATAAAGAAAATAATCATAATTTGCTGCCCTGAATAACATATAAATGATATGTTGTTTGTTTTGTTTTCATGAAATGCTCAATCTCAGTGAAAATTCCCAAATGCACTGTGGTGATAGTTGATAGGACAGTGGTTAATGTTCTCAAATAAAACTTCCAGAAATGTGAGAGAGATGCACATCAGTAGTGTGCGCTGGTGGTGTAAACATGGACAGCTCAGACACTGCTAATGCCTGAGAGAACAGAAATATATTGGAAATATAAAAAAAAGAGTTTCCTCTGTTTCTTGTCATGTAAAATTATACCTGTCAGTGTGTGTTTATGGTTTAATTAGATCAGCGAAGCTCCTCTATTTGTCAGACTTTTCAGTGTTTTATTTTCCTCATGAGTGCTTGCAAAGACAAGCTTCTTTAGAGATCAGTCTCTCTCTCTCTCTCTCTCTCTCACACACACACACACACACACACACACACACACACACACACTTGGTGCTTTGTAAGGCTGGTCTAACAACCTTGTGACAACTTCCCGAAATAGACTTTTCTTTTAAACATAACAAAATAAATGCATAAAGAATAACACCTTTCGGCACTGTTCCCATTGGGGTTGCCGGATATTTCCAAAGCGTTGCATTTAAAATGGACAGATGACATAAAGATGAAGGTTTATTTAATGGCTGATAGGCACAATAGGCGGTGTGATATCCATTCAGCAGCAGGTAAACCAAACAGTGAACAGGTGCATGAACACAGAGGCTTCAGGAGGCGTTCAGGAGACACAAACAAACCTTTTTATTTAAGAGTGAAGCCAGAGGAACAAACCTGCAAAACTGCAGCCTTTACTGCTGAATTCAATATCTGTCAAATAAACACACAACAGTTAAATATATAAATGAAGGAACCAACAACTGTTCATGGGAAAAGTCGATTAAAATACATTTAAAAGATTTATTAAAACCAGACCAGCAAATGGTCTGTATGTGGAGCTGCTGAAAACCTCATGTTGTTTACTCCTGACTGTGTCCATGCATTATAGATACTGGATTTTTTTTCAAGTCATCACTTTCTACACTACACTTCACATGTCACACTGACCCTGATGGACTGCTGAACCATGATGTCATGTATTCTTCTTCTTTTCTATATGGAGAGCTTGACAGTTGATATTGGCATGAAATCCGTATATTTTCTTTCTTGCTGAGAGTTAGTTGTGAGGGTTCATGTCTGTACAGTGAATCTGAAGCTACTGCAAACCAGCCAGTTAGCCTAGCTTAGCATAAATACTGGAAATGGGAGTAAACAGCAGTTAGCCTGACTCAGTCCAACGGTAACAAAATCCCAAATCCACCAGCACCTCTGTAGCTCACTAATTAATACTTTACAACTCATTTGTTTAATCTGTAATCTGTCGGACTATTTCTTGGCAATGAGCAGTTGCTGAGACTCCTGTTACTCCCCTGTAACAATGCAACTTGTTTTAAACCAGGCTCCTGTACGAGTTGAACAAACGAGATATAACATGAGGTGCTGGTATGTAGACCATCACCATATTTCCAGTCTTTGTGCTAAGCTAAGCTAACTGGCTGCTGGGTGTAGTTTCATGTTTACTGTACAAACATGTTGTAAAAAAAAAAAGTGAAGTGTGAGTGTAATATTGTCTGCAGTGTTGTACATGTAGAATCACGTGTAGCACAGCAGAACAAACCGGTTTCTTCTCTTTGTGTTTGTGTTTGTGTGTGTATGTGTATGTGTGTGTGTGTGTGTTTGTATGTTTGCATGATAACACTGATAACGTAAGTACTGCATTTATACATTTATATAACGAGGTTACAGTTCGCTGAATTCAACATAAAAGCCCTCAGAGCCAAATAGATTTCATGCTGTTGGTGCCAAATGGAATTGGCTGTAGTCTGGACTGATGAAGAGTGTTGTATTAACATCAATGTTGTGTAATGAATAGTCAAAGCTGATCCTGCGTAAAGGATGAGGTGATATCTGCCTCTGAGTGAGGACACGGGAGGTGAAATGAACTGACAGACAACTCACTGAAATTCACTGGGGAGCTCATGATGTCAGCTCAAGAGAGTAAATGTGTGTGTGTGTGTGTGTGTGTGTGTGTGTGTGTGTGTGTGTGTGTGTGTGTGTGTGTGTGTGTGTGTGTGTGTGTGTGTGTGTGTGTGTGTGTGTGTGTGTCCATGGTTCGATGGACGTCTATAATCTGAACCATGTCCTTCTGAGGATTATGCTAAGCACAGAGGCTGTTGCCCCGGCAACATTAGCTTACAAACATTCATTTAGTGCTGCATGACCCTACATAAACTGCCATGACCTCCCAAGTAAACACATATGCTCCCAGTGAACTAGGAACGATGTTTGGGTTTAGGGTCGTGATAAAATGACTGTCACCAGTTTAGGTCTTTTTTTAAACTTTTTTTGCTTGTTGCCTGATCCAGCTCATTGAAAGCCCATTGATTAGGTCCACTTCAGAGGTTTGAGGTGTGGAAGGTTTAGCAGCAAATATTCTGACTGCTTATGTCTGTCCTCAAAATGATATATATATATATATATATATATATATATGTTGCAATCTGTAACTTCTCCAGTGGATGCAACACAATCCCACAGACTGGTCCTTTAATAGATAACTTGTAAAGTGTTTGTTGTAAAGATGTACCAAAAGAGGTGAGGACTCCTCTTGAATGTCTCATGGCCATTCTTTTTATGAATTTCTTTATTCCTCTCTGAGTCTCTCACTTTTCACAGTTTTCAGTGTGACGTAGCAGTGGATAAGAGTCTTTAAATGTGTTAACAGCAGGGAAGAGTGTATTGATCTGGCCCAGAGGGCTGCATTTGTTGAAATTGATTCACACAATCAAAGTCGCCCAGAGGGTCTCCAGAACTGAGGAGAGGATGCTGGATGATCTCAGCATCTGCTGAAAAAAGTGCTGAGTCAGTGTGAACAAAATCCTTTACAGCGGCCAACAGATAATGTTTATGGTCTTCATACAAGCAGCTGGAATGATGCTTCAGCTGAGCTACACAATTATAATCTGTTGTCTCTCTAAGAACAACCTCCCTCCCTGTATTTGTTGGATTACTGTAATCACGAGTCACATCAAACAGTTCCTCTTAGAAAGTATTTCAATAACTTGAAAATATCAATGCCAAAATGTCACATCTAAAAATATCAGCTAAAGAAAGAAAAAACAGTGAAGTCGCTGTATTGTCTCTGTCTCCCTGCAAAATGGTTCTCTAGTGTAAAAAAAATCATCTTATATTTTTATTTTTCTGCATCACAAAGCTGAGATGTTTGTGTCGTCCTCACTGCCTCTCTCTCTCTCTCTTGTGTGTGTGTGTGTGTGTGTGTGTGTGTGTGTGTGTGAGAGAGAGAGGCGCTGTAAAGCTTTGTTTGTTTTTCCATAGTTGTGCAGCTGCTGTATTTGATAGTTTGATTGTTGCCATATCGTGCATTAGAGCAGCTCACAAAATCAGATTATATTTATAATTCATTTGTAGAAACTGTGAACACCACTGGCAGATTTGAACCTCTTTTAGAACATGAAGGAAAAGGTTTTTCAGCAAGTGCTTCTGATATTCCCCTGAGCAAAACATTGCATCCCTGTGTTGCTGCTCAGTAGAATGGTTGTTCCAGACATTTCTCAGGTGTTGAACGTGTGAGTCTCACTGTGTTTCAACTTATACTGCTGCTGCTGTGTGTGTAAATGAATCCTTTATGTTCCTGATGAACATTTCCCAAACACATTTGAAATTTGATTTGAAACGGACTTGAGATAACTAATGCATCACATTGAACACTGTGTCTCCATAGTAGCTTCCTGTCAGTATATTTGTTATCTTATCTTCTCTGACTTTGAGGCCTTTAATAATTGAGTGTCATCTGACTGTAGTTCAACACTGCCCTCTAGTGGCAGGAAGGACACAAGCCTGTCTCCAGACACCTTACGTTGAACAAAATAATGCACTTTTTCATCTCATTTTAGATCAGTGTATAACATCATTTACATGATGCATTTTGGGAATCATTTTAAATGTTCTTTTCAGTTCTTTGAATGCCTGCTTTTGCTATAAGGATGTAAAACTGTTTGAAGCTATAGTTGTTTTCCTCTTTATCCGAATGATAAATAAGATTGGAGATTTCACTTATCGACCCTGTTAATCGTCTCTACGTTGCGGAAGTGTTCTGATAGTGAGAGCTCACAATGGACTGGAGGAGAGCCAGAGATTAATTGTGAAATCAAAATCAAAAGAATTAAATTAACAACTGGGTGTGTGAACTTCTGTCAGCAGAGTTGTTCCTCACACCTACAGCATCTCTTTGCGGTTGGGTTGTTTTGGGTCAATATAAAGCCTCTGTGTCTGGCTCTGGATGAGAGAGACTACAAAATAAGATGCATTTAGACACTGAAAGCAAGTGAGATCCTCAAACAGAACCACTGACAGTATATGACCCCAACACAAAGAGAATTCAGGAGCAGGCGAAGCTTCAGAATAGATGCAGGAAATGATGGATGAAGGGGAAGTTTGTGTTTTACTGTAGCAGGTGTGTCAACCCTCTGGTGCTCCTGCAGGAAGAGGGAGGAGGTGAGCTGGGAGGAGAAAGGGGAGACATGCAGATGTTTTGTTCAGCAATCAGCTTGATGAACAGGGTTGCTGCTGCAGCCTCATGGAGCAACTTATCACCTGGAAACATTTAGAGAGAACAACTCTGGTTTCAAAAAGTGAGGAAGGACAGCAAACAAAAATTAAGAAAACTGCAGGAGTAGAACTGGAGCTCATCAAAAAGAGAACTGACGGACAGAAAATGAGCAAACATCCTCTTTGAAAGGACAAAACCAACTGACTACTACACAACAGAAGCTCATCAGACGAACCATAAAGATGATTAAAAACTGATCCCAGAGCTTCAGAGCCTCCAACCCAACATGGAGCAGAGGAAAGGGAGACACCAGAGTAGGAGACACCAGAGTCTGTTGAAGATGGTCAGACACTTCTGCAGCTGGCTGACTGGCACACTGTCAACAGGTACTGACAGGAAATAAATGTGTCACCTGACTGTTTGATTCACTGCAAAGATATTTTTGTTGAGTTTATAATTATAGATATAGATTGAGACATAATGTATATTATATGATATTTTGTAGGTGAAGAGATTACATAGATGGGTTAGATGAATAATTAAAAACAATAGTGTGAGTGTGAACATGTTAATCATTAATAATTGAGGAGTGCTGATGTGTTCCTGTTGAATACAGTATGTTCCTTTAAGTGGTACTCAGTCAGTATCAGCCATATTCTGTGTTATGGTTGGTAGTTCGCTGTTGCTGCTTGTGTGTTGGACACAGACAGAGAGCTGGTTGTAAGAGCGGTGCAGAGAATCATAAATGTTTTTCTAAAAGCTCTGTACAGTCGACCATGATGAACTCCGGGTCTCTATATTGTTACAGCAAAGAGCCAACACAATGTGTGTGTGTTTGTGTGTGAGTGTGTGTGTGTGTGTGTGTGTGTGTGTGTGTGTGTGTGTGTGTGTGTGTGTGTGTGTGTGTGTGTGTGTGTGTGTGTGTGTGTGTGTGTGTGTGTGTGCATATACTTGTCACTTTTAGGTCTCTCTCTCTCTCAGCTTAAACAAACCAACCCCACTGGTGGGTCAGTTATCAGACACAGTTCAAACTCACAGATGAATCATAGTAGAAGGTTTTTGTTGGTAACAATGTCGGGCTAAATGTTTGCACAAATTGATCTCATTTTCATTTGATTGAATAGTGCAGCCATATAAAATATTTAACTGTGTCTAAACATCAAGGTCCTTTATTTGCCATTTTAAATGATAAATAAATAGTCTTAATTCTTTGATATAGCCTTAACGAAGAGCTGGAAATAGATAATAAAAACAATAAATAAAGAATATATATACTTTATGAAGCTGTCAGTCAGTCTGAATTAAATTATTTTAACATTCTTCAGGTTACTTGAGGTCAAAATGAGGAGAAAACTGTGCGTTATGGGGGTTAACTTGGCCTGGCTGTTGTTCAGTCGGTCCACCACTCTGGTCCAGACTGAATCTTTTCAACAACTAATGGATTTGATCATTAGAGCACACATTTAGACCATGCTCTGTATGAGTCAGCCCTTGCATGCTGGATGCTCGCCAAACAGCTTTGATCTGATGGGTCACACTGGTTCAAAGCCAGGTCAGCAAACTAATTTGAGCGCACTAAGTTGCATGGAAAAGTCATTCAGTACTTTAATGTAGTTTGGCCAGTGTTTCATCCATTTAACATGCTGTTTCTCTATGTGGGCCACTCTATCTGCCTCTAATCTCTGCTGTGATTGGTTGTTTCCAGGTAATCCACCATCCAAACCCAATAAAAAGACCATAAAGCAGCGGTTCCTCAAACTGCTCCCCTGCTATCGCTCTGGCTCCAGCACTTCATCTAATCAAAGCAAGTGTCAGGACACAGAAGTCCATCATCACTCAGATCTCCCCCTCATATTATTTAGTCACTAGGAAAATACGTATTAACTCTTACATTTCCTCTTCTTCATTTTCTCCACTTTCTCCTGTTTCTCTGGGCAAGGAGTCTCATATAAGCTCTGGTGTATCTCTGGAGTAACGGTTTAATTTCTCCCTCCATCCCTCCATGCAGGAAGTATAGCTGATGATGCCGAACTGTCGACAGTGTGCTACAGACCGGAGGGGCTCGACCGCCTCGTTCAGCAGACCAACTTCACCAAGAAAGAGCTGAAGGTCCTCTACCGGGGATTCAAAAATGTCAGTCAAAGATGTGAATTTTAATTTTTTTTACTTTTACTCGTTATACTCGTTATACTGTATTATTTATTATTATATTTATTTGTTTTACTCGTATGTGAATATGAAGTGCTTGTACACAATGTGGATTCAAAAATGATTCATATGCATGAGAATGCATGTGTGTGTTTTTTATTGACATACGTTTGTGTTTATTAATTCCCACAGGAGTGTCCCAGTGGTGTGGTGAATGAAGAGACTTTTAAAAGCATCTACTCCCAGTTCTTCCCTCAGGGAGGTCTGTCAGATCCTCTTCCTTCAACTCATGTTTTTTAATCTTTATTTAACATTTTACCTGCAAAAAGTCCAAAGAAGTGCTGTCTTGGAGCTTTTTATAAGGCAAGATCTAGCGTCCTCCATCCTCTACCATGGTGTTCATACCTAGAGGCCAGGGATCATGTGTCATGGCTGTTGGTTGCAGGTCTTTATTCCTGTCAGTCTCTACACTGGATCATATCCCTGTTTTAGTTCGTACTGTCTACTTTAAGATGTGCCCATCAAAGAAACCCTCTGCATTAGTCTTAGACTGAAAATCTGTCAAATCAAATGTTTACAAAAGCAGCAATTTTTCCTCCGTCTTTATGTGTTTCTACAACTATAAAATCAGAAACACTATTCATCCTGTAAAGTGTTTACCCAGATTAGATTATAGATTAAAGACTATAAAATGTGAAGCCCAGGAAGACATTGAACTTTAGGTGTTGGCAAACAACCTGAGCCATATGACCTCCCATGTAGATCTGGAAGAGAACCGGCCACACAAGCACAGAAGAGACAGCACAGCATTCACACAGAGAGGCTGACAAACACATCGCACACTTCCAAACAATTACGATTTTAAAGTGTGATATAAAACCACAAGGTTTAAGATTATCTCTGAACATCCTCACAAACTCAGAACCTTGCTGACTGTTCTTTGAGCCCTACAGCAAGTAGCCTACAGTATGAGTGCCTGTCTCTGTCAGACTCTGATTTGCTGCACTTACCTTATCTGTAGGGATTTGAATGGTCACGTTGTATTCTCTTTCATTCAGATTCGAGTATGTATGCACATTTCCTGTTTGAGGCTTTTGACACCAACAACAATGGATCGGTCAGCTTTGAGGTGACTTTTCCGTCCCTTCAGTCCCTTCAGTCCCTTCAGTCTCCAGCCAAATGTTTTTTCCTCCTGAATTTCCTTCACTTTCACTGTTTTCTTCCTTTACGCTCCGTAGTGTAAATCCTGTAATTTTTCTGCTGATTTATTGTAAAGAGCATTACAATCTTTTTCACTGCTCCACACTACCATATGTCTTTCTATGGAAAGTTCACTTATTTAGCAGCAAAACAGACGTTTTCCTTTGAACTTTTTTTGGCAAGGACACAATAAATGAATAAAAAAAGTTCTATCTCCTTTTCCTCAAATCACTTCAATATGTAACTCCTTCACTGTCTTTACTTTGCAGTACAGAGACTGACAAAAGTATCTTATTCTGTATCTAGTTTGTATTCTGCCACATATTGCTAAAACATATACAGTATTTCTCTCTCTTTAACCCTGTTTTTTACCTTTTGACTCACTCCTTCTGATCTTTATATCACCTTCCTGACCTCACTCATGGCTTGGTTTTCTTGTTCTTGCTGTAGGACTTTGTTATGAGTATGTCCATCATCCTGAGAGGCTCCGTCACGGATAAACTCAACTGGGCCTTTAACCTTTACGATCTCAACAAAGACGGCTGCATCACCAGAGAGGTACTTGATCCATTCTGTCTTCCTCTGTATAAAAGCTGAGTCTTGTGTTCTGCAGGCAGCCCTTACTGACGCTTGATTTGTCCTTGTTTCTTTTCCTCAATTCTGTCTGCGCAGGAGATGACAGACATCATGCACTCCATCTATGACATGATGGGGAAGTATACCTACCCCAACATGAATGACAGTGCTCCCAAAGAGCATGTTGAAAACTTCTTCCAGGTAAAACACACAAATCATCAAACCGTGCTCATCCCCCAACACTAAACTCAAAGTGAGTTTTTATATGTACTGTAATTGTTCAGCCATTTTTATACCTCACCAGAACCACTCAACTGAATCAGTTCATATGAATCCCTTATAATGTACTGGTACACCATGTACTGTGTATGATCACACAGGTTCAAGTCAGCACACGCTGTAACATGAAGCCCTAAAACACTCTGCACCAGGTTGTTTTTCTGATCCTTGGTTTGTTGTACAAGTATTTGGCGACACAATAAACCAAACTAATGTGCCAAGAAATGTAGCAACGTGCCAACAAAGGGCAGTGAAGAAGACTGTGAGCTGGTTAACATGAACGTACACAATGCAGGTTAACACACATTTGGTGAGAAAACTCCACATGGTGTCTTTAAGGTAACCTCTGAAACATCTGTGTCTGTGTGTTGCATTTTCCAGAAAATGGACAAGAACAATGACGGAGTGGTAACCATCGAGGAGTTCTTGGAGACTTGCCAAAAGGTCTTTTGCATCAAATGTTTTTAACCATTTCAGATGCACATTTAATGACCTCCAAAAACCTCCATTTCCACCTGCAGCTTTCTGACTTTCTAACTTTGTCCCCTTGTTTCTCCCTCCAGGATGAAAACATCATGCAGTCCATGCACATGTTTGACAATGTTATCTAAGGCTTTGGCAGACACAAACAGGAGATTTTCCCCCTGCCTGGAGCTCATCTGCAGTTCGGAGCCAGAGTGTACGGTGATTCTGGGCCTTAACAGAGTGGTGCAGGGTGCAAACAGCAATAGACTGAGGATATCTACCCCTAAAACCTGTGAACCCTTGTGAAATGTATTTATTTATTTTTTCATGACAAGTGTATAGAAAGGCATCAAAAGGTAGATTCTGGTGTTTGAGCTGTGCAGACCGATTTGAACAAGCATATTTAACGCTGTAGAGAAACAGCTCAATAACAGGAAGCATTGATGAACAGATGGCTCTGCTATGGCCTCTTCACTCATAGAAGTTATGATTATTAGATTTTTTTTTCTCTATTGCATGAATGAATGCGCAGACACATGGAAGAAACTGAATAATGCTCAAAATATCACACTCTTTCTATACTCACAGTTGTACTAGTCAAAGGACGGCTCTAATAAAGGGATGAAGTTTGAATTCAAGCAATAATCTAACATCAAATCTTCTCTGTCCTCACATTTACTGTAATATTGTGTTTTTCTATATGGACATGGTAACAATGATGATGAAATTGAATAAAACCACAGTTGCTATGCAAAACTGCATAATTATTTTTATCAATATTTTCTTAGGAAAATATTTTACATCAATGTTTCCAATCAGCCTTTAATGATCCGTTTCTCCAGAGGCTTGAATGAAGCAACGGGTCCGAGTACAAAACCAGCACTTAAAATAAAGCACTCAACAATCCTTAAATACTGTTTGGGAGAAGGATTTGGACATTTTTAGCGTGTAAAAATGTGTTGCATTGATACTATACCAAACACCATTAAGACCTTACAGAATGAATAAATAATGCTGGAGTCTTGGAATTTTCATTATGGGTGTAATAAATTTAAAGCTTCCAGAATATATTGGAAAACAGGTAAGTCATTTCTGGTTTTAACTCAATAAACTTGGACACCATTATACGTTTAATATATCCTTTATTTTTATTAAACAAAATTTCAGTAAAAACTCTTATTAAGTAGAAAGACAAATTTCCCTGTCAGTAGTTTGCTCCAGCTGTAGGGCCGACCCCGACTACATTATCTCACGTGCTGGACTCATGAATGAGTCAATCTGGTGAACACATCTGTAAAACCACGTTGTTCTCCTGCAGATGATTACAGTCACATAGGATATTTTCTTTAAATTCAGTTTATAAAGGAAAGACATCTTTGTTAATATTCTGGTAATGCCGGATAATGTGAACCTCCCCTAGTGAATAACTTATAAAAGATGAGAAACTATTCCTAAAAACAAACATCTACACTCCAAAAAGTAATCCACATTTCAGCTGATTACAGAAGGGGGGAGGCAGCCCTACGCTGCTCTCTCAAAAAGGTCCATCAGAGACCTCCACATCTCCTCGTTTGTTCACTCCTACTGAATTAGTGCCGCCGACTCTTAACTGTTGGGTCACAGCGGGAGAAAGTTGACAGTATATAGTGTCAAAACTACAGCGTAGACAGCAGTGTCTGTTACAAAGGCGTTAAGAAAGAAACAGAGCGGTGAGCAGGTGCACCGTGCACGTTGAGCCACCTCTGGCAGTGTTTTCAACTATTATTCTCTTTTTTTCTTATTTTTTCTTAAAAAAGGAAGCTACATGATTATCGTCACAAAATAAAATCTCTTTGGCATAGAATACCCATCCAAAAGCATGAACACACACGCGCACACACACACACGCACACTTTTAAAAGGTTCTCAAACAGAAACCTAGAAGCATTGTCACGGTCAGAATTATAATCAGCAAAATTATGCTATAAAACAAAGTTGAGCCCTGTTAAGATTATGAGTCCCGTACTCGGTGATAATTGCATATATTACATCAGGCTGAGAGCAGAGGGAATAATCTCTACTGACGACTATATTCTCTTCTTTGTCCCATTACGTCCCACATCCCGCCCTCCACTTTCTTCGCCATCTTTCTTTCTCCTCTGGCTCTGTAAGAAAAACAAAAAAAGACATGATGAGAAAAACCACTTCAGCATGCATCTCAAGCAGAGCTCGAAACATCAGACTTTAAAAAAAGGCCCTGAACTTTCTTAGTGAGCAAATTGACTGTATTCTAATTGTGTTTTGGTCTGAGCTCTTCTTACTGGTTTGTACTGGGTAGGAAAACAACAAACAACACCAATCAGGAAAACAGTCACTTATGTTTTGGCAGAAGAAGCATTTCGGATTCACCATCTGAATTGCTTTGCTTACCTTATAGCATACAAAAATGACAATGAAAAGAAATAAATTGGAAAAGATCTTGGCTTCCTATCACAATCAAAGAAGTTCCTTTCAAACTTTGGACAAAATGTAATTTTTCCATTTATTTGCATATCTCCATATATGTGAACTAGTTTTTGTAGACATGCTGATGAAACATCTATCATTCATCTTTTCAGTGCAAAATAACTTGATTTAAATGTTTCCAATAGCACTTATGTTACGTCACTTTTGCCTCAAAGATATCATTTGTTACTATGATGATAAAACAATGACTGACACTCATTTCCTAATAATAATAATATTAATAATTAATACATGTTATCGTTCACTTATATTTTATTTTATAAAAATACTTTTAGATTGTCCTGCTGAATATGTGATGAGCACTCTTGTATCTTGTACTGGTTGTGTACTGACTTGCTATGTAGAAGTAAAGTTTTGTTAAAGAAATGGCAGTTCATCAATATTTAATCTTATCAAGAAAATATTTTTGGGGATATTTGCATGCACTTACCTTTAGGTCAGTACTCAGAGTACGGTTGTCTGTCGTAGACAACGCTGCCAGGGTATTCTTCTTGCATCATATTTCCGTCCATGCCATCAATCGGCATGTCAGGTCCGTACCCGTAGCCTTGGAAACCGGCATCCATTTCTGCAAGGAATAACAGATTTGTTTTTTTCACGTGTTACACACTGGGCCAACAGATTATATGCCATTTGACTTCCCTTGTACTTGGGGTTTATCTACTGCTGCCGTCCTGATAATGCAGAATAGGAAAATGTACAAGCTAGTGGAAATGGTTTAATATTTTTTTGATGTGAATGAATGAATGTGATTATAAGGAGAGGAGTAGCTGATCCTTTTTCCCCTCAGTCTCTCTGCTCTGAGAGCAGACAGAAAATACCAAGGCCATACAAGGAGAAAAGTCAAGAGAAGGAAAGGAAGGGAATAAAGACAAAGATACAAACACAGATAAGGTAAGAGACTGATGGAGAGAAATCCTTCTAGACTTGGCAGAAAGGAAAAGGTAGTGGTGTATCGAGAGAAAAATATTCAAGCATAACACAAAGAAAAGGCAAAGACTGAAGTGAATGAAACAACAGGCTCAAAGTATTCCATTACATACATTTGGATCAATACAATGTGATTTTGCCATATACATTAGATCTGAAGAGGACAGATTTGTGACCGATTTAAATTAGACATGAATGTAAGAAATATGCTTAAATATCAATGCAAACTAGGCCTTGTTTCAGGGTACTCGTTTAACTACAAAAACTATGTCTTTGATGATGGAAAATGAAAACTGTAGGCTGCAGTGGGGAGGCAATCTGTTAGCAGATTACAGCAGTATAACACTACGGTTGCTCCCTGTGGTGGAGTGACCCAGTGCTGAGGAATGTGCTGTATGTGCACATTTCAGCCATAGTTACTCACCATCTGGATAGGGTCCTTCCACGTTGTGGGCCTGCGGAGGGGTCAGGAGAGGGCAAATGTCAACTCTTGTATATTGAAAGCTTATTAATAGAGTAAAATGTAAAACCAAGAGAGGTTAAGGAACAACAAATGGCTAAAAATCTACTTTAAATGTTCAATTGTCATGTCCTGGCAATGGGGGGCGCCAGACACTCACCATCTCCCAGGCAGCGGGGTCGTGTTTGAACAGAGAGTGTGTGAGCTCCACAGAAACTCGCTTCTTGTAGTCTGAGTTCTTATCCTCGGAGATGCGGAAGAGCACAGCTGCAGCATAAGTAGCTGAGGGGCAAAGAATCAGGACATATTCAGTGATGTGCAAAAACCATCTACTCATTTTAAATAATGCTACTACTATTACTAATGTGTTATAGTGTGAGTGCACTGAAAGGGAGTCACATCAAGTATATATAGTAATAAAGTATATAATAAATATAGTTTTAGTGGTAATAGCATTTACTGGATGTATTTTTCCTTTTATACAACTCCCTGAGGCTTTATGGATATAGTGCATTTACTGCATCAATTATAAAGAACATAAGTCTCTATATGTGTGTGTGTGTTAATAAGCCTCATCTAATTCAGTCATGGTACCTCCACATAATATACTCATAATATTTCAAATCATTCATTTCCTTGCTGAGAGTGAGATAAGGAGATCAACGGTATCAATCTTCTCATCAAACTCTTGACAAGAAACTAACAATACCATAACAGAATGACACCTCAGTGAGATAAAACAAGTAATAAAGTAAATACCTTCATTATTATGTACTTAAAGTCATTATGTTTCTTATGTGGCATTTTTAGCATATGTCAGCATGTAAAGAAATATCTGCAGAATGTTTCCTGTTAAATTATCTATTCATTTGAGAATTGTAGCAGTTTAAACTAGCTATATAGGTAATTTATTAACGTCACACGCTATTTCACGATTTTATTCTTTAAATGTAGGCTGCAATATGTAATTCTGAAATGTAGTGGAGTAAAAGCAGTCTCACAAATTGGACACAGTTGAAAAACTGCACTTACACTAAGAACAGCACTTGAGTAAATTGACTTTGTTGCTTTTCACCAATGGCTAAATGCTACATTAAGGTAAGCTAATCGCAGTACATTATCTGGGTGTCCTACCAATGCCCTCGTTGTTGGAGTGCAGCAGCTCCATCAGAGGAGCCGATGCTCCCTCGCTGTCAATGAGCTCAGCTGACGGTTTGTCCAGGGCCAGCTCGCACAGAACGCCTGCCGCCACGCGCTTCACATTGTCCACTGGAGAGTAGAGGAGCTGGAGAAGGGGAGGAAGGAAATGAGTAAAACCAACAAAAACAAAACAAACATAAGGAAGTTACTGGAAACTGGAGAGCTTCAGTTTCCTGTGTTACCTGAACAAACAGCGGAATGGTCTGCAGGTTGGCGATCTCTGCTCGGTTGATGGGATCTCTGGCCAGGATGTGCAGAGCTCCTGTGCAGCCCTCCACAATCTCCTCCATCCTCACTCCATCCTGAGGAGCAAGATGAAAAGAATAAATGTTACTGAAAGATACAGACATTCATAAATAATTCACAACTGCCACTTTTCCAAATCCCTTGAAACATCCCTCCTCATGTACCTGGTATGTCTGCTGGGCGGATGAACCATGTTTCTGGGCGTCTTGGTGGGCTTTGAGCAGAAGGTTGACCAGACGGGGGATCACTCCAGCATCCCTCAGAGGGGCCTGGTTCTCTGGGCACAGGGCCAGGTTGCGGACCAGGCCAACCACAGCCTTCAGGCAAGGGAGTAGAGGCAACAATATGGTCATGATACTTGTACAATACTTGGTCCACAAGTAAAACAAGGCTGACAAACAACTGCAAGCTTCTCCATTAGAA